GTTGACAAACGTTGAAAGAAGCAGAGTCCTATTTAGGGCAGAATGACTTGTACCAGACCCGAAACTCGTTGATTCACTCAGGACATACTTTGTTGTTTTGTTCAGAGGGTGGAAGGCACCACTGAGCTTACAAAACTTCCTAGCCAAACCAGAGCAGCGGTCGGCGATGGAGTGGGAGTAAGCATTGATTTTGGACCAGAGAGCTGAGATCAGCTTTTGTTCTTTTCTTTCTAGGTCATTTACTAGTGTCACCTAATCCATTGCCCCTTTAGACCAAGTCAGAGGGGGAGGGCCCTGCAGGAAGGAGAAGGGCAAGATGAATACACAGTTGTAATTTCACAAGGGTGGAGGGACTGTGTGACTTTCTCACACGTTGGCAGCAGCTTGGTTTATACAGAGGCAGGATGGACTGTTCGACTAGAGATTCGGGGCTTGGAAAAAGGACAGATACTGCTCACGCATTCCACCAAGTGTTACGAGGGTGCGTGAATGACAAAGTAAACAACATCCTATGGGAAGTAAGAAAAGAGACATTCAAGCGGGCAAAGGCTGACGTCTGGGAAGCGTTGAGGATTCCAGAGCTGGAAAGGACTACAGCAATCACATTCCTTCTGTTCTGATCGCTACTTGTGCCTCTTGTTTTACTCTGTTTTAAATCTGCTGACCTATATTTGCAATATTTCTACCTTAAGGGAACACTGAATCCCATACACAGGCCACCAGTTGAGTGTCGCATTGCCTTTAAACTGAACTGTGCTATTTCTAAGATTAGTTGTGTGTTGCAAACTACCCAGTTGGGGGCAGACAAAACAAACAGATGACTTCTGAATGCTACCAAAGGAATCCTGCATTTCTTTGTGTGTTGTTATTTTAATAAGGCAAAGGGCTTTTTAACTCATAATCAGATTCAGACAGCTTGCTCCATGGACAGAATGCTACAATGGGGTTCCTTTCCAATTATCATATTTTTAACCACGGAGGCTGGAGCTTGGGCATGGGTGTGAGGGGTGCTGGAGGCACATGTATTTTTCTGGAAGATGTGAAATGCTGTGCAGAACAAACTCAGAAATTTATAGAGGTACTAACACTGCCAAAACAAACCCTCCTAATAACACCAGACTGCGGGCGCCAGGGCATCGAGCAGCAAGAGATCGTCTAATCCACAACTCTCCCCTCTCCCTAAAAGGGTCTACAGTGCCTGTCGGAAGGAGTTGAAGGAAATCAGACATTCTCCTCTAGTTTTGCTTTCTTATTCTGCCAGGGAATTCAGAAAGAACGGCTCCAACTCGGACTCTAAGGCTTGCAAGAGACAGAAGAAGCGTCATAGGGCACGTTCATGTTCCCGACATCCACAGGAGTCTTGCCTGACCACCACTTACTCAAGCCTACAGGCTCTGTAGCTGTTCTTACCATCTTTTCTCTCCTTTGGGGTTAGCAACGGTCTAAACATGGTGTCCAATCTGGGTGCCTGGCCAAGAGCCCATTCATCGCTTTTATTTTTCCCTGGAGGAATCCATACCACAGAGCCCTCTCTGGTAAGGCCATAGGGATTGAGTCCCACGGAGCCCAAGACAGAGGCCATGGCAGAGGGGCCTTGATAAAGTAGGACCTCCTGCTTACTCTGAAACGTATCTAGGCTGACAGGGTAGTCTCAGAATGGGACCAGGTCAGTGTGTTTAGTTTGAACAAGCTCTGCGTGTGATTCTGTTACAAATTCATACACCACCCCCTCCGCAAAGGCCCACTTATGGCTCCTTGGGCAGAGGCTCTTTTTACCGATAGGCTGCCTCTAGGGATAGACTCTTTTGCACTTATAAAACTAATTTGGTATTATTTGCATTTAAGTCTATTTCCACATTAGACTGTTTTGGAGAGCTAGATTGTGTCTTGAGTTTTGATGCCCAGTACACATTCTGGCACATAATAGGTATTTCCTAAATTTCTGCTCAGTTGAATAAAGCAATAACTATATATAAAATGCATATTGTTGATACTACTATACAGATATAAATATATGACATCATATTACATTTATAATATATAAATATAATTTATAATTTAAAAATTCCATTTCATATTTTATTTTATTTCTTCTTTAAAAGATTTTCTTTTTATTTTTTTTTTTATTTTTTTTATTTTTTTTTATTTTTTTAAATATTTTTGTTTATTACTAGGAGAGAGAGAGAGAGAGAGAGAGACAGCGTGAGCAGGGGAGGGTCAGAGAGAGAGGGAGATACAGACTCTGAAACAGGCCCCAGGCTCTGAGCTGGCAGTCAGCACAGAGCCCGACGCGGGGCTCGAACCCACAAACTGCGAGATCATGACCTAAGCGAAAGTCGGACGCTTAACCGACTAAGCCACCCAGGCGCCCCAAAAGATTTTCTTTTTAGGGCACTGGGTGGCTCAGTCGGTTAAGTATCTGACTCTTGATTTCGGCTCAGGTCATGATCTCACAGTTTGTGAGTTCGAGCCCCGTGTTGGGCTCTGTGCTGACAGTGCGGCGCCTGCTTGGGATTTTCTCTGGCTCCCTCTCTCTGCGCCCCTCTCCCGCTTGTGCTCTTTCTCTCTCTCTGTCTCTCAAAATAAATAAACATTTAAATAAATATATATATAATACAATATAAACATAAATTTTTTACTTCAGTCCAATATGCAAAGGGTTTCCTCTAGTTAAAGATCAAAGACTGAGGTTAATTTCTCAGGTGGTTTGGGCAGAAAGTGAAAGCAATGGAGAACAACAGACAAAGTCAAGTCAGGCGTTAAAGAAGGTCTGGAGAAATGACCACATTGTCTTCCCAGAAAGACAAAAAGCTTCCAAAGAAACCCTATGCTATAGGGAAATGGTTGTCAAATATTTTGGTGCCAGGTTGTCAAATATTTTGGTGCCAGGACTCCTGCGGTGGTTTTTAAATATGTCCACAAATTCTTCGATACTCTTTCCTTCAAGAGGTGGAATTTAATTTCCCTCCCCTTGAGTATGGACTAGAATTGGTAACTTGCTTCCAACAAACTGGTGTCCGAATAGATGGTATGTCACTTCCCAGACTAGGTCAGAACAGACACCACAGCTTTTTGCTTGTTCTCTTCCACGGATCGCGTGCTCTGGGAAGGCCGGCGGCCATGTCACGGGGACACTCACGAGACCCATGTGGTGAGGAACTGAGGCCTCCTTTCAAAAACCGACACTAACTTGCTAAAATGTGTAAGAGCCTCCCTGGAAGTCGATCCTCCAGCCTTGACAACACTTCATATGACTGCAGCCCCAGAAAGTGACCGAAATTTCTTTAGAGGCTGAGAACTACCCAGCTATACTGGTCCCAAATTCCTGACAGAAACTGTGAGGGGAATAAATGTTTGTTGCTCTACATCGCTATTTCTTTGTATGATATATGTTTGATATTCATTGCTTAGGAATTAAAACTCAGGAAAATTCTACTTATTTGCTTACTTATTTATTATAAACCAACAATGAGCCATTTTAAGTTAACATAAATAACACTCATGAAAAAAATGGTGAGAAAGTGATACTCTTTTTGCCTTTTTACAAAACATCTTTGGCCCGGCTTCACAGGAGGCAGCTAAATTCTCCCAGTGGCTCCCACATTCAATCTGCTGCAATGCCCTGTTTTGGTTGAAGTATATAAGCAAGACCCCACTTCACATAGATATAGACTTAGCAAAAGGAGCACCTCACGCGCTCCCTGAAAGGGCCTCTGAATCACAATTTCAAACTGTTGCTACAAGGAAACTAGAAATCTCGTAGGTTGGAGGTCAACAAAAGAGAAGAAAATGTTCAATTCTGAAATGAAACAATTCTGAAATGTTTCTGTGGAAGACCGTCTCATCTCACACATCAAACTGGATCATGTAAGACTGAGAATGATTACTTCCCAAACTCCTATAGTAAACAGATATGGACGGAATAACTGAGCCCACATCTAAGATGTTACTTATTTCACCTCTTAATTTTCCATCTCTGAATTTCCATCTCTTAATTTTCCAATCTCTCCCAGTTCCCTCAAAGTCATCAGGAAGCAGAACTCGTATCTAGCTATTCTTGAGCCAGTGGTAGGGTGGGCAGCATGTGCAGTCCTTTCCGGAAGGCACTTCTCCTAGATTTGTGTTACGATTCCCATCCAGTGTCTACTCCTAATTTGTAACCATGAAGCTAGAACAGGGAAGGAGGGGATCTCGATAAGGGAGGAGGAATGAAGAGAATGAGGATCAGAAACAAATTTTACTTTAGTCCCTTGACTGCTGTCTTAAGAAATAGAAACAGAATCCTTCATTTTTATTTTTTAATTAAAAAACATTTTAATGTTTATTTTTGAGAGAGAGAGAGCATGTGAGAGAGCAGGGTAGGGAGGGGCAGAGAGAGAATCCCAAGTGCTGACAGCATGGAGCCTGCGGGGGGGGGGGGGGTGGGACTTGATTCCAATGACCATGAGATCATGACCTGAGCCGAAATCAAGAGTTGGACACTCAACCGACTGAGCCACCCAGCAGCCCCATGAATCCTTAATTTTATATACTTAAGAGAATGCATATAGAACGTGCAGTATGTGTATACACATGACTGTGTATACATGACACATGTGTATGCACATGAGTGTGTCTTGTCAGTTTCTCTCTGGTAAACCTGACCTGGATGCACTGTTAGTACCAGGGAAGTCATAATGAAGCCATAACATTGTGAGACCAGATCATAAGCAGAAAATGTTTTGTTTAATCAATAAATACCTTGAATAGAGAAGTCCATTCCACCCTGTGTTGCTGTACTAGATATTTACACATGGTAACTTTACATTTAAATATGGCTTAGATATAATACAGTATCTTTTCTCTTTAACACTGACACGTGGTAGTATTTAATTAATCAAATGCTCTACTCAGAAGAACTAAATAATGTGTATTTAAGAAGCTTCACTCCAAAGGTTTTTGAACTTAAAGCACAATTGCTAATTGTATGCTGAAATAGAGGTAAAAAAAATCCCTCTCACCTTCTTCGGCTGGATAAGGTTTCTTCATGTTCTACATGAGCAACTTTTAATACCTTCTTGTCAATAAACAGATCTTCAGGATAATAAGCAGATCTATATTGGCGCTGTTGAGAATGGGCACATAACTTGCCAATCTGAAAAAGAAATGCAATATAATTACGTGATACTTTCACAGATATGATAGTAGAAACAAATTCTGAAATGCACTTCAATTTCTTCCTCAATTTCTTTTTAAAGAGCAGAACGAAGCTATTACTGGAGTCAAAAAAGGTGATATGCTTTTAAGGCAAAGAGCCCATCTGTGGAAAAGGAGGCTGAAGAGTGCGGTAGTGGGGCTCTGAGCACAGCCTATTCAAAGATTTCCTAAGATGAAAAATGCCTTTTCTCCATAGTGAAGTGCACCTTTGAGAGGACCCTCTACACAGGACTGGCGCTACTGATACCAGTCAATGGCACTCAGTATTTATTCGTATGAAGAAGTTCACAAATGGGAATTGCAAAGTTTGGGAGGAACCGGTGTGGGAGGTGAGGGGCTGTGAACGATGTGTAGAGTAGCCTGTTAATAGAATTACAGCCTCCCATGCAGAGTGTTCCCGACTCTTGTGAGCATTTTGCTATAAGACCCAAGGTGGAATATTCTGAAAGATGTCAATGTAGTTGCTCAGGTGATTTTCCTAAAAACACCCAAGGGACGGAAGAAGGCAAAGCAACTAATCAATAGCCAGTGTCGTCAGCTATGAATCATGTTATATTGCCTAAGCCCAGGACTGAAAGTACTAAGGAACAGAGGTGCAAGGAAGTCTACCTTCTCTCCTCCTTTCTTCCCTCTTTTGTCCTGCCTTCCTTTCTCTACCCATTCATTTGTTCATTCCAAAGTATTTATTGGTGCCTCCCTCTAAAGCTTAGTTCTAAATGATGGGGTTCAATTACTTGTAGATTTCTATTTTTTCACTTTCGGACAAATGCCTAAGTGAACTTCCCGTATTAAAGAAGTATGCATTAACATGTCTTCCTTATGCCTGACACTAAGCTAAATGTTACTAATCTCATTTTATAGGTGAAGAAAGTGAGGTTCAGGCAGGTTAAGTTACTTGCCCACAGCAAACAGGTAGTGGATTCATTTTGTGACTTCAAAGTTTATACAATATCATCTTCCTAGATGATGATACTTGCTTTCCAGTTGCTTACACACTCTATTTTTTAAGTTTATTTATTTTCAGAGAGAAAAGGAGCATGAGGGGAAGGAAGATCAGAGAGAGAGAGAGAGAGAGAGAGAGGGAGAAAGAGAGAATCCTAAGCAGACTCTGTACTATCAGTGCAGAGCCTGATGCGGGGCTTGAACTCATGAACCATGAGATGACCTGAACCTAAGTCGGACACTTAACTGACTGAGCCGCCCAGGCGCCCCTCTCAGTATATAAAAAAAAAATTTTTTTAACGTTTATTTTTGAGAGAGACAGAGACAGAGAGACAGAGCCTGAGCGGGGGAGGGGCAGAGAGAGAGGGAGACACAGAATCCGAAGCAGGCTCCAGGCTCCAAGCTGTCAGCACAGAGCCCGATGCGGGGCTCGAACTCATGACCCTTGAGATCATGACTTGAGCTGAAGTCAGACACTTAACTGACTGAGCACCCAGGTGCCCCTCTATATTTTCTTTTGTATAAAAGGAATTCCCAGTCTTTCAAAACATAGCCAAGGTGAATATACAGATTGTATACTTTAGGAAAAATTTTAGCAACAGCTAGTGAAGACAGAGGTTATACCTTTTATCACTTTTGTACCTCCATGGAATTCAGACTGAATTTTGCACACTGTTAGGCTCTCAGCAAAGGCAAGTTAAATGCAGTAAATTGAAGGAGACTCCCAGTTATCAGGCCTGGCACACCATTCTCCCATGCGCCGTGTGTGGTAATCGTTTCTGGATTTCTCAAGACGGCCCTGACACCATTTACTAAACTATATCTTTATAAAAGCATAAATGACATTAAGTTTGTATAGCTTTGTAAAGTTTTCAATACATAAATAAATTCTTGAATTAGAAATAAAATCTAAAGTCAGTAGTGGCATCCTCTCCATTGACGAAGGACAGCAGGCCAGCTATTCCCAATCATGTATCTCAATGGAAATGAAATAAAAGTTGCAGACACTTTGAAATACACCATTTGGCTTCGGATCGTATGATACTGGATTTTGCAGATTTGTTTATGAAATGCTATTTGACTTGGGCTGATATTAACTTCAAATGAAGAATCTGTGTTCTCTGAGTTTGTCCTAATGGGTAGCAGTCTGGTAGGGTGCGTTAGGCTAGGGGGCTGCCTGGCTGGACTGGGGGGTTCAGTTCCAATCACTTCCAAAGCTTGTAAGGCAGACACAAATAACTGAGGCCAGACTGTGCATCCTAAAATTATGTTCAGAGAGATATACATATTTACTCTGTCACATTCCTGGTGAACATTTGTAGAACAAAACCTTGATGTTCATTCCATAAATGCCTATTTATTACTCTGCGAACATACATCAGTGTGAGAGTCTATTTCACCAAGATCAAAGTATTCTTTGAACATTCCCGAGCACAGGACACGTTCCCTTGATCGACACCTGTTTCAAATCCAGCACTAAAGTCCAAACCTTTCACACGTCTTCTACTGTAGCTTGTCTATGCACAGACCAGAGCTGTGAAGCCTGCTTCTCCACTGGAAGTCTGCTTTTTGTATCAGTGAATGCTAATTGGGCCACAGCAAGATTTTAGTTTCTAACCCCCTCCCATCCTACTGGAAAGGGGTTCAGCTGACGCATAAGTAGGAAGGTTAAGAACAAATGAGAATGTAGCCAGTGTGACCGTCCTTCCCAAGCTACCCAATGTGGTGTTGTCAGGAAGACTTCCCAAGGCTCCGTGTGGGGTAAGGGGCAAACAGTGATGTCCTGCCCATCTGAAATCTGCCTCATCTTATCAGACAGGCTGTATTTTCTTCCACCAATCTACCATGATGCACATTCTTCTCATCTACAAAGAATCTGTCAAATGTAGACACCCTTTGGGCTCTTCTCTGCACATCTTCCACCTCCACACCATGGGAGGCGAATATTATGAGCTCATTTGCGAAGGGGATGCAAAAAGAAAACTTAATTTCAAAGAGATGAAGTATTCACATTAAAGAGGTCCTTTCAGCCTCCCACTTGGGCAACATCAGGCTATGCTAGGAAACCTGGGTCTTACTCTACGGCTGCACTTGCTGAAGGGGCACCAGCCTCCCACGTGGCATTTTAGAACTCTGTATCCTGCCTAGAAGTTTTGGGCTCTTAAATAAGCAGTGCAATCCAATATCCTTTCACTGAGTAATGTACCAGGTCAAAGATGCCACTATCTTGAAGTTTTGTTAGTTGGAGGGAATTTATTGGATCGGTGAGTGTCTCTATCAACAGACCCGGGATCGAAAACCCTTTCATTTTCCATGAACTGTGATTCCTAATGGTGCCTTTGTTCATGCGGCAAACCTGTGGCAGGGAAAGCAAGAGTGCTCTGACGTTATACGACTTGAAACATAGGAAGACTGGGCCTCTGACCGTATCTAGGCAAGCAGGTCATCCTACTAAACTTAGAACCATTCTTTTCTAACCAGGATCCAGAAGCACTGGCTTTGGAGATGCGTGAGGAAAATACACTGCTAGGGCTCACCCACAACAAGACTTTTTGACCTAGACCACAGTTTCACTCCACCTGTAACTCTGGTCTCATGCACAAAAAAAAAAAAAAAGGTATGATATGTCAAGGCCCGTATTTGATTCTGAATTCCTTTGAACGAAAAGGTGCAAATGACTTTTCAAGTACAATAGGTCACTATAGATTTTGAAACCACGCAAAGCATTTGGATAGATGTAATTCACACAGGCTCCCTGTAACTGACATGTCAAGAAACGCAGATAATCCCTTGGTTGAAATCTAACCATATGGATTCTCAGGCCCCATTGGCTGTTGGTTCTGGAAATTCTCAGGTGACCGAAAAAACTCAGGCTTGCTTTTTCCCTCTGAGTGGCTGAGTAGAGAAAGTCTGTATTGTAAATTTCTCAGTACTAATCCTTCACATTTGTAACATAATACCTTACTCCAGCCTAGTGCCTCAGTAATAACTTCTACATCCATTCTCTGTTCTCAACAGTGAGTTCTACAACAACCCTCTACAATAGAGCACGTATTATTGGCCCCATTTTCAGAGATAAGGAAACTGAGGCTCACAACAGTTAAGGAACTGAAGAAAAGTCACAGTGGTAGTAAATGGCAGAGTTAGGATTTGAACCCAGATCTGTCTAACTTCAAAACCTAAGTTTATTTGTTTTAGTTATTATTTTTAATATTTTTAATGTTTATTTTTGAGAGAGAGAGCTAGAGTATGAGTGGGGGAGGGGCAGAGAGAAAGGGAGATGCAGAATTAGAAGCAGGCTCCAGGCTCTGAGCACTGTGCAGTTAGCACAGAGCCCGATGTGGGGCTCGAACTCACGAACTATGAGCTCATGACCTATGCTGAAGTCGGATGCCTAACTGACTGAGCCACCCAGGTGCCCCCTAAGTTTATTTTTCAAAGATTTTATTTTTACATAATTTCTACGTCTAACGTGGGACTCGAACTTACAACCCTGAGATCAAGAGCTGCATGCTCCACCAACTAACCAGCCAGGTGCCTGGGTTTTCATTTTTGGTTTTTCCCCTCTATGCCATAGATTTCTGTCAAGATGACGGGCTCTGGGGCTTCCCAGTATTGAGTTTGGCCCAGCTTTGTAGTCCTGTGGACATCCCATCCATAAATGGAGAAAAGCAATGATTATGAGGAATTCAAAAACATTTTTAAACAAGGGCTACTTCTTAAAGATAAGCTGAATACTGACATCCAATTTTAACCTACGTTTCAGGCAGTACTCCTAATGGAGTGATTTAAATTCTTCGGCTTGCCAGCTAAGAGTCGATTAGTAACCATACTAAAGCACTGGATGTCCAGGTCTATGGGAGGCGCGGTTCCCATGTGTGCCCAGCCTGTGCTTGCGGCTGGCAAGATGCCCCCAGACCCCGACTAAAGACAGATACTTGGATTGGCTACAAAATCTATAATTCCTACAATATAAACCAGGTCTAGTCTGATGTC